GTCAAGCCGGCATAGAAAGCTTGCACTAATTGCCATTTTGGGATCAAATGATGAGGACATTTCTGAAGAAGATCTTGTAGCCTTTCCCAAGTCTCATGGAGTTGTTCTCCATTGACTTGAGAAAAGCTTAGAATGGAACGCCTCATTTGGTTGGTTTTACTCACCGGATAATACTTCTTAAGGAATTTTTGTTGCAATTGAGCCCAAGAAGTAATGGAATTGGGAGCAAGGGAGTTCAACCAATATTTTGCCCTATCCTTTAGGGAGAATGGGAAAAGATGGAGATGGAGTGCATTTTCCGGAAAACCTCTCAACCGGATGGTCAAACAGATTTCAAGGAACTCATCAAGATGCTTATATGGATCTTCATTATCAAAGCCATGAAATGATGGAAGCATTTGGATGGTGCTTGATTTGATCTCATATTGAGCTGCATCGATGTTTGGCATTACTATGCAAGAAGGAGAAGCATAGGTGGTAGGGATGAAATGATCTCTAAGAGTCATTGGTTCTACATTAGGAATTTCAACCCTTTCATTCCCCGGATTTCCTACGTTATCCCCCATTGTATTGAATTCAGTTTCAAGATCCCTTGTAAGAGTGGGTTCCCTAAGGTTCCGTCTAAGAGTTCTTTCAAGTGAATTTATATCAATAGGCGAGTCAAGTGTGGGTAGAGAGAGTGACCTACGGCCAAACATCAACAACAAAGCATATATTCAACAACACAATTCATCATCAATACTCTACATGCGATGTTCCCTTTCTCCTCAATTATCAAGACAAAAATAAATGGCCACGATAAGGACCGATGCTTGTACACAAAATTAAAACAAAATAATAGCCTCGACAAGGGCTTCACAAGCTAAATAACACTAAGTTAAACACATGCAAGATATTCACAATTTGAAAGACTAGAACCTTGAAAAACTTACCGGAAGTCCTCTAGACTTACAATTTTCTCAATTTTCCCTCAGCAAGCCTTGAGTTTCTAGAATCTCACTTACACCACAAAGATGGTTAAACCACAAAAGAAATATTCACAAAACAAGTATTCACAATCAAACTAAATTTAACCCTAGAACTATGGTCGCTAAACCGTATGCAAGTCCCCGGCAACGGCGCCAAAAATTTGATCGGTTGATCAACTATACATCAACCTTCGTAATAGCACGAGTCATTGTAAAATAGGGCTATTGGTCGGGTAAGTCAAACCACTGGGACTGCGCTAGTCTAAAGCAACCTAAATGTCTAGAATCATTTTTAGGATGATGAGGTGTAATAAAGAGTTGTTGATTGTTTGTCACTTATACTATGAATTGAAATATGCATTAATGAAAAACTTGCAAGAATTTAAGAGATGAAAGACGAGTAAAGAAGACTAAGGAAGTGAATCCACCTCCATCCCTATACACATGCTAGATTAGACCTAAATTAGGGGAAAAACAACATATGATGGTCAAGAACTACATAGCAACACATAGTTGCCATGTAAGTAATCAAGAGGTACATTAGGTCTCAAACAAGTATAATCCATCAAAAGGGTAAACATGTTTAGACTACCTAACTAAGGTGTAGCTTATACACGTTTACTTAAATGAAAGACTATCAAATTCTTGACAAAATGATGAAGCACATGGAGCTAGAAATTAAGCATACACCATTAAAGTATTTCCTAAGCAATGGTCTATCAAAGTAACCTATCAACATGCCATCAAATCATTTCATAACCTTGTTTCCATTCTCACCATGTAAACTCAAGCAAAAAGATTAATACAAGACATCACCTAACATAAGATAATGAGCTTGAAGAAATCATCCACACATATATAAACATTCATTACACCAAATGAAGTGCTCTTAGCTATGAAAAAGACCATAAATATACATTGTAATCCCCCAATATAGACTACCCTAGGACATGCTTACAAGGGAGGGACTTCATCACCTCCCTAGAGAAAGAGTTAGTTACCCATTGCTAAGCTAGAAGAAGGAAGAAGTTCCATCTTCATGGCCATTTTTGTGCAACCTTCTTGGAGCTTGAAGAACACACCTTTTTTGCTCTCTTCTCTCTCCTCTAATCTTGTAGAATATATGATAATGTTTTGTGTGGTCCTTCCTCTCTCTTATCAAGCTCAAGTCAAGGCTCTCTCTCCTCCAAGGAACACCTCCAACCACTTCATAAAGAAGGAAGATGGCATTGAGGAAACCAATGTGCAAGTAGCTGAAATTGAGCCATTTTCGAGTGCAATCTACCTGATTTTTGAGCACTCGAAGAGTGGTCTCGAGCACTCTAAATTAGTGTAATGTGCAACATGCTCTTCTTGCTTAGCACTGACCTACTTTGGTAAAACTGCTATAACTTTGTGCTCCGAACTCCGAATGATGATCTGTTTGAAGAGTTAGAGAGCTGATTCAGTGCTTTAAAAACTTCATGTTTTGATGAAGACCCAATTCTCAAGTCTGGTTGGTCGAAAATGGGGAGAAAGATAGTACTTCAGTGTTGCCAGGCAGTTCTGCGTACCTCTGTTAAGAAGATCATAACTCTCTGCTCCGAACTCCGAATGACAAACCGCTTGAAGATTTGGAAAGCTGATTCAGAGATATAAATCTTTCATGTTATGATGGAAGTTCATTTCTTGAGTTTCTAGGTCAAAATGGTGAACAAAGTTCGGGCTTCACTGCTGCCAGAAATTCAGCTTTTGAGCACATTGTTGATCAAAAATCCACAAGGGCTTATTTTTGCTCCCTTTTTACAATTAAACCTGAAAATGCCTAAAAACACACAAATGAAGATAATCTACAGAATTAAACAAACAACGGACTTAACTAATGCAATTTAGGGCGCTTGAATATACAGTATTCGGCACTTATCATATATATATATATATATATATATATATATATATATATTTAACGTTAAAAGAAATAAAGCAAGTGGGCCTCACCCATGTTATAAACACATAAAAGGCCATAAGTCCATTATACGAATCCACTATTTCTCTCTCTCTTGCTGCAACCAGTCTGCTCTTAGTAGTTTCAAATTTTTTTTTTTTTTTTGCAACTTCAAACCTTGATCTTGCTTTTTCCTTTGGGAATTTGGTAGAACATTGTGAAGTAAAGTTGTTGAGCTCGTTGAGGCCATCAATTTGATAGGAGCCAATCATCATTTGGTGTACTCTAGGGAGTTCAAAATTCTAAGGTTCTTGGGCTCAAATTGGGGGTTTTTATTAATTTGATGTAGGGGTGTTCTAATCCACAATTTCTTGGCCTTTGGTGATTTTTTCCCTTTAAATTTGATCCTAAGCATGCTAAATTTTAATTACTTAGCTTGTTGTTGTTGTAGTTATATGTAATTACAATGATAATTGTGTTCCATTTATTATTTGAGTTTATATGCATGTCTATTTTCATTACGGTAAATGAGCATGCTTGGTGTTCGATGTGTTGTATGTTCTATGATTATTGATTTATTTATTTATTGTCTTGAAGAAAAAAAATAGGTGCTATGGTTATAAATAAATAAATAAAGGAAATGAATGCTTAGAAATTTTCATTAAATTGTGATGATGATGTAAATGGAAATGTGTGAAAACATATAGTTAAATTGATGATTTGAAGCATGAAGCATTCATGCATCCATTGGGAAAGAGAAAGGGGGAAAAATAATTATTAGAACAAATAAAATTGTTTTGGGAAAAATATTTTCTAAAAGTGTTACGAAAATCGGACGCCTAGGAGGCGCCTAGTGGTTCAGGATGTTAGTGTAGTCTAGAAAATAATGTAGTTGAGTTAACTAGGCCAGATGCGACGCCTTGGAGGTGCCTTGTGGTCATAGATAGTTAACCAACCATCCTTTCATGATGCCTTGGAGGTGCCATGGGTCGGATTACATTAACGGTTTGGTTGTTGAAACGGAATTATTTCAGAAACGGGGAGTGGCATAGGCATGACATTGCACTTCATGGTATATGTGGGAAATTTGTGATTGGATGTTATTTATACTATGCTTGTAGTTGTGATTGAGAATATGTTTTCCCCATGGTATGACCCCGTCCCTTTTTATCCATTCTTTGTATGGGATTCACGGGGATATAAGAAGTGTGTCTTAGACACTTCCTACTGAGCTTATGCTCACCCCATTTTTTTAAACATTTTTTAGGACACGGAAAAGAGGTGGCGGACGACAATCCACCACTGGTTTAGACTAGCTTGGAGATATATTTTATTTTGCTATCTTTTGTTATCTTTTGTATTAGAACTTTAATATATATTTTGTAATTGTAATCTTAAATATTTTGTAAAACTTTAGTTTAGTTGATATAATGTTGTAAGCTATGGACTTTAAAATTTAAGCTACAATTATGGACTGTAACTTGAAGTAATGGATGTGTTCCTTGTTTGGATGAGATGGAGGAACGGGACTTTTGTGTGTATATAACCGTTCTGGAAATATAGTATAATATCTGAATTGTGCATTGGGACAGGATAAGTTAGATTTAAGGCCCAGTGAGGCTATTGCATTTATTTTTGTATTTCAATAGGTTGTTGAGGGACATTTTCTGCGGAGGTCATGCCGAAATTTTTATAGATTTTTATTATTAGTTTGGTATCTTTTCGGGTTGTTACAAATTTGGCATCAGAGCCATGGTTCAAATACCATTAGGACGATGGGTAGAGGCCTACCTAGGATTGCATGGGGAGTTGATTTATTTGCTTACTTGCTTAATTGCTTACGTGATTGTATGCTTATATGCTTATGTGTTAAGGTGCTTAATTATTTGAAAGGCACGCTTAATTATTTAATTACTTAGATGAGTACGTGTTAAGTGCTTAGTATTGTTGCATATTATTAGCATGATCATGTTTCACATTAGTTGGGTATTCTGGGAGCAAGGAATGTGTTTATGTGTTTCCATTTTTGTCAAGTTATTCATGTGAGGATTCTGTTCTCGTGCGTATTTTAGTGTCATCATTATTGATCCATTTCCTTTTTCTTATAGCATCATGCCACTACGAAGGGATCTCGGGGAAAGTTCTAGCTCCAATCTTGTGGAAAGGGATCAGGAGCAAGTTGAGGAAGATATCTTATTGCGTGATTTGGTCCCACTGAGAGAGGGACAAGCGAGGGAGACCGTTGACCCACCTTTTCAGATAAATAGGGAGTAGTTGAGGTTAGCCGTTCTGGCGGCTATTTTTGATGTGCATCGACTGACAGGTGCGTTGTCGTCACAGTTTGTGCCACCACCGGCACCACCACCACCACCACCTCCACAGAAAAATAAGTTAGATGATACTCTTTACCACATTGCTAAGTTTGTGAAGTTGATGCCAACTCTGTTTAAGGGCGATCCAGATCCACTTGTTGCGGATAGTTTCATGGATAGGGTGGAGAAGCATATTAATGCCATAAATTTGGCAATGGACCAGTTGAAGATTACATTGGCTACTTACAATTTTGTGGGCGATGCTGAGATTTGGTGGAAGACCGTTTCTCACACCCATAATCTGGATACTATGATATATGCTACTTTTAAGAAGTTGTACTATGAGAAGTACTTTCCAGTGCCTAAGCGGAGGGAACTAAAGAAGGATTTTGATGGGTTGAAGCAAGGAAGCATGATAGTTACAGAGTATGAGAATAAGTTTACATTGCTTTTGAGGTTTTCACCGGGGATTGCTAATGATGAGGAAGGAAAGATAGAGAAGTTTGTTGATGGTCTTAATCTCACCATCATGCCAATTATAGCTGCCTCAGAACCAACAGAGTATGCAAAAGCAGTGCGAAAGGCCTTAGTAGTTGAGGCTGAAAGCAGGGACAGTAAGGCTATCAGGGAATCCTACAAGCACAACAGGGGTATAAGTGCTTTCCCCGAGGGTCAATCAAGTAAGAAACAGAAGCATGAGCAGTCAGGGTTCAGAGGACAGTAGCCAGTCAGATCCGCCCCCACAGCTTCAGTGTCCATGGGGTCTTCTACACTGAATGTTACTTGTTTTAGATGTGGACAGCTGGGACATTACAAGTCCCAATGCACTCAGACACAGGTAGCTCAGATGATTTGTTTTAAGTATGGGCAGCTGGGGTATCACAAGTCTCAGTGTACTCAGATTCAAGTGGCATCTGGTGGATGTTTCGAGTGTGGCCAACAAGGCCATATGGTGAAAGATTGTCCACAGCAGACCAGTGGTTTGGGCAGAGGTGGAGTTTCACAACAGAGGCAGATGTAATCTGCCATAATTCAGTCAGGGTTTCGACCACCACCACCACCTCAGTTGTCTCAGCCAGTTATGTCAGCCCAGTGTTCTCGACCTGGTAGGGGAGCTTCTTTGAGTGCACCCACTTAGCAGTCTGGCTATCAGGCAGACGGTTCTCAGGGCCAGAGGACCCAGGGTTACGTGTTTGCACTTAGTCCAGCTGAGCCACCATCCAGTCCTTCAGTTGTCAGGGGTATATTTCTTATGTCCCATTCTTAGGCATGTGTATTGTTTGATTTCAGTGCTTCTTATTCATTCATTTCTTCATCATTTGCATGGGCATTGGGTTTGGAGGTCAGTCAGTTAGACAGACTGCTCTATGTTGACACATCTATTGGGGATTCAGTCATTCTTGGTAGAGTTTGTAAGAGTTATTCCATCATAATTGCCGAACGTGTTCTTAAGTTCTATCTCATCCTTCTCGAGATGACGAGATTTGATGTCATTCTTAGGATGGACTGGTTATCATCCTTCAGAGCTGTTATTGATTGTTTCAGGAGCAAAGTTTCAGTGTATACCCCAGATAGGGATTGTTTCTATTTTGTGGGAGATCGGTGCGATCCTCTCACTCATTCATTTTATGGTGTTAGGGGTCGGGATCGGTAAACATTCTTCTTGGCTAGTCTTCTCGCTGATGATGACGTTGAGTTTTATGGGGTTGATTATCCAGCGGTTGTGCGTAATTTTCTGGATGTGTTTCCGGATAACTTGACTGAGTTACCTCCACACCGAGAGGTGAAATTTGCTATTGATTTTATGCCTGGTACCACGCCAATCTCTATGGCACCATATCGTATGGCACCGATTGAATTAGAAGAATTGAAAAAGCAACTTGACGATTTGAGAGTGAAAGGCTTCATACGACCGAGTGTGTCACCGTAGGGTGCATCAGTCTTGTTCGCTAAGAAGAAATATGGTTCTTTGAGATTGTGCATTGATTACCAGAAGTTGAATCATGCCACCATCAAGAACAAGTATCCTTTGCCAAGGATAGATGATTTGTTTGATCAGTTGAGGGGAGTCAGTTGTTTTTTGAAGATTGACTTGAGGTCAGGTTATTATCAGTTGCGGGTTAGAGAGGAGGATATTCCAAAGACCGCCTTCCGTACGCGGTATGGACATTATAAGTTTCTTGTTATGCCCTTTGGCTTGACTAATGCACCAACGGCATTCATGGATCTAATGAACCATGTCTTCTACGATTACTTGGATCAGTTTGTGGTAATTTTTGTAGATGATATTCTTATGTATTCACGGACTCGGGAGGAACATGAGGTCTATTTGAGTATAGTGTTGCAGATTCTGCGGGAGCACCATTTTTACGCCAAATATGAAAAGTGTGAGTTTTGGCTACAAGAGGTGAAATTTTTGGGACATGTTGTCTCAGAAGGTGGGGTTTCAATTGATCCTTCAAAGATAGAGGCAGTTTTGAGTTAGGAGCAACCCAAGAATATCTTTGAGATCTGGAGTATCCTTGGCCTAGCAGGTTATTTTCAGAGATTTGTGAAGGACATTTCCCATTTGGCAGCTCCTATGACCAGATTGACCCGAAAAGGGATCAAGTTTGCATGGAATGAGGCCTATGAGTCATCCTTTCAAGAGTTGAAAACAAGGTTGACTATGGCTCCGGTGTTGGTGATACCTGAGCGTGGCTTGGGTTATGTGATCTATTGTGATGCCTCACGAGATGGTTTGGGTTGTGTACTGATGCAAGATGATAGAGTAGTGGCTTATGGGTCTCCTAGTTGAAGACTCACGAGCTTAACTACCCTACTTATGACTTAGAGTTAGCGGTAGTCATATTTGCTTTGAAGTGTTGGAGACACTATTTGTATGGTGAGAGATTTGAGGTGTTCTCGGATCACAAGAGTCTCAAGTACGTTTTCTCCCAAAAGGACTTAAAGAACAGACAGAGCCAATGGGTTGAGTTTTTGGAAGACTACAACTTTGATTTGCGGTATCATCCGGGTAAGGCAAATGTGGTAGCTGATGCTTTAAGCTGGAAATCTCGTGGGACTTTGGCTAGTTTAGCCATTCAGAAATAGAAGATGCTGGAAGATTTAGCTGAAATGGGATTGTATTGCTTTGATGATGATGATGATGGCAGTGAGTCAGCATTTTTGTTTAGTCTCATGGCTCAACCCACTCTTGTTAGACGGGTGATTGAGTCACAAAGACAGGATTCAGATTTGGATGCCATTTACACTCTGATTTCCAGTGGCGAGTCGGTGAAGGATTGGACCTTATATACAGATGGAGGTCTACGGTTTAGGGGTTTGTTGGTTGTTCCCACAGTTTGTCGTGAGGATGTCTTATGGGAGTTTCACACTTCCCGCTTTGCAATTCATCCGGGTGGTACCAAAATGTATCACACTCTGAGACATCAGTATTGGTGGAATGGAATAAAGAAGGATGTTGCATAGTTTGTAGCTAAGTGCCTTACCTGTCAACAGGTGAAGGCCGAGCACCAGAGACCAGCTGGTTTATTGCAGCCATTGCCGGTAGCGCAGTGGAAATGGGAGGAGATTGTAATGGATTTTGTGACAGGTCTTCCTAGGTCACGGAGGGGAAATAAAGCCATATGGGTCGTTATCGATAAATTGACTAAGACGGCTCACTTCTTGCCTATTAAGGCAACAGATGATGCAAAGGCGCTTGGTGTACTTTATGTGAAAGAGATTGTAAGATTGCATGGAATTCCAGTGATTATTGTTTCAGATAGGGATGCCAAGTTCACCTCGAAGTTCTGGGAAGGACTTCAAGCAGCGTTTGGCTCAGCGTTGCACCTTATTACGACATTCCATCCACAGATGAATGGCCAGTTGGAGCGTACCATCCAGATGTTGGAGGATATGCTTCGGGCCTGTGTACTTGACTTGGGTGGTAGTTGGGAGGATCACCTTCCACTTATTGAGTTTGCCTACAATAACAATTATCAGGCAAGTATTCAAATGGCTCCATTTGAGGTGTTGTATGGTAGATCTTATAAGTCTCCTATCTGTTGGACTGAGGTGGGCGAGACAACCGCCTTAGGACCCGACATTGTACTCGAGACTACCGAGAAGATTAAGCTGATAAGACAGAGATTGCTTACAGCTCAGAGCCGACAGAAGAGCTATGCAGATAGGCGGAGACGACCACTATCCTTTAAGGTGGGAGACCATGTTTTTCTTCGAGTTTCTCTAAAGAAGGAGTTGATGAGGTTCGGGAAGAGTGGCAAGTTGTCGCCACGATTCATTGGACCTTTTGAGATCTTGGACCGTGTAGGAGAGGTTGCCTACAGATTATTATTACCACCGTAGATGGACAGGGTCCATAATGTTTTCCATGTATCGATGTTACGGAAGTACGAGCCTAATCCATCTCACATTTTGAGTTGGGTTAATGTGGACATTGATGAGATTGTTTCCTATGAGGAGGGACCAATTCAGATCCTTGACACACAACAGAAGGTGTTGAGGAAAAAGACGATACCATTGGTAAAGGTTCTTTGGAGGCATCATGGAGTTGAGGAGGCTACTTGGGAGCTCAAACAGGAGGTTCGCTCCAAGTATCTAGAGTTGTTTTCTTCCTCAGGTATGGTTTGATTTCGGGGACGAAATCTTTTAAAATTGGGGAGAATGTAATATTTATGAGATATATATATATATATATATATATATATATATATATATATATTTAATGTTAAAAGAAATAAAGCAAGTGGGCTCCACCCATGTTATAAACACACAAAAGGGCCATAAGGCCATTATACGAATCCACTATTTTTTTTCTCTCTCTTACTGCAACCAGTCTGCTCTCGGCAGTTTCAATTTTTTTTTTTTTTTTTTTGCAACTTCAAACCTTGATCTTGCTTTTTCCTTTGGGAATTTGGTAGAACATTGTGAAGCAAAGTTGTTGAGCTCGTCGAGGCTGTCAATTTGATAGGAGTTAATCATCATTTGGTGTACTCTAGGGAGTTCAAAATTCTAGGGTTCTTGGGCTTAAATTGGGGGTTTTCTTCAATTTGAGGTAGGGGTGTTCTAATCTACAATTTCCTGGCCTGTGGTGAATTTTTCCCCTTAAATTTGATCTTAAGCATGCTAAATTTTAATTACTTAGCTTGTTGTTGTAGTTATATGTAATTACAATGATAATTGGGTTCCATGTATTATTTGAGCTCATATGCATGTCTATTTTCATTATGGTAAATGAGCATGCTTAGTGTTCGATGTGTTGTATGTTCCATGATTATTTATTTATTTATTTATTGTCTTCAACAAAAAAATGGGTGTTATGGTTATAAATAAATAAATAAAGGAAATGAATGTTTAGAAATTTTCATTAAATTGTGATGATGATGTAAATAGAAATGTGTTAAAACATAGAGTTAAATTGATAATTTGAAGCATGAAGCATTCATGCATCCATTGGGAAAGAGAAAGGGGGAAAATAATTGTTAGAACAAATAAAATTGTTTTGGGAAAAATATTTCCTAAAACTGTTGCGAAAACCGGACGCCTAGGAAGCGCCTAGTGGTCCGTGATGTTAGTGTAGTCTAGAAAGGAATGTAGTTGACTTAATTAGGCCGGATCTGACGCCTTGGAGGTGCCTTGGGTCAAATTACATTAATGGTTTGGTTGTTGAAATGGAATTGTTTCAGAAACGGGGAGTAGCATAGGCATGACATTGCACTTCATGGTACATGTGGGAAATTTGTGATTGGATGTTATTTATACTATGCTTGTTGTTGTGATTGAGATTATGTTTTCCCCATGGTATGACCCCGTCCTTTTTTATCCATTCTTTGTATAGGATTCACGGGGATATAAGAAGTGTGTCTTAGACACTTCCTACTGAGCTTATACTCACCCCATTTTTTTAAACATTTTTCAGGACACGGAAAAGAGGTAGCGGACGACGATCCACCACTGGTTTAGACTAGCTTGGAGATCTATTTTATTTTGCTATCTTTTGTATTAGAACTTTAATATATATTTTGTAAATGTAGTCTTAAATATTTTGTGAAACTTTAGTTTAGTTGATATAATGTTGTAAGCTATAGACTTTAAAATTTAAGCTACAATTATGGACTGTAACTTGAAGTAACGGATGTGTCCCTTGTTTGGATGAGATGGAGGAACGGGACTTTTGTATGTATGTAACCATTTTGGAAATATAGTATAATATCTGAATTGTGCGTTGGGATAGGATAAGTTAGATTTAAGGTCCAGTGAGGCCATTGCATTTATTTTTGTATTTCAACAAGTTGTTGAGGGACATTTTCGGCGGAGGTCATGCCGAAATTTTTATAGATTTTTATTATTATTTTGGTATCTTTTCGGGTCATTACAAAGAAGCTCTGGCAAAGAACTGTGATCCAAATGGGGTGGCCATCAATGGTAATGTGTAGCTCTAACAAGTTACTTGGGGCCGGCCGGAGGTTCTGGTAGAACAACCGAACAAGCCGCGGGTAAACTAGATATGTAACTGGGGCCAAAATAGCTGAAATGCCCCTCCGTTCAATATCATCGTAAGCGGACTGGGTCAGGAGATACCGGGAGAAGAAAACAATATCAAATACTGACTCATGCGCCACCTCAAGGTGTGAGTATCTCCTAGTAGGT